CGAAGTGGTGGAGTTAAGGTACAAAAATTTAATTATGAGTTTATTGATTTGTACATCTTGAAAAATAGTAATCGACCTCAATAAATTATGAAATTTGAGGAGAGGCATGTATACGTGATTTTGAACAACTTTTTTGTTGTAGCTTTTTATTAAAAAAATCGATTAGAACTTATAATCGGATGACCTTGGTTATTGTTGGTTTGATTCATTTTGGTAATGCAGATTTTATAGGCTGTTTTAACCCACGAAACGAGCTCATTTTTATTGGTTTCATGTAAACTAAAGTAAAACATTATTCTACACACTTTTCATGTTTTGAACTTTTTCGAAAAAAATCATCTTATGGCAGTTTTTTGTTCGTTTTCAGCTTCAGATTTTTCGATTGAATTTCGTCTAGATTTTAGATCAAGGTTTTCTCTTAACCTGTTCAGTTTCTGTTAAATTCGTTCGCGTTGTCTTTTAGAAAATTTGATTCTGTACAACTTTCGTTCTTTGAGTTTTGGTCAATTCAAATTATTTAAGCAGGAAACGGTGCATTTTTATACATATTCAGCAAGTTACTTATGATTAATTTATACTAACATTATTTTTTTTGCAGGATGGTGGGTCTTACTAACTTTTTATGCAGGGCTGACCCACTATATTTTTATTTCTATTTTGTCTATTTTATAATCAATTTATATTTCGTTGTGTACGGATAAGAAACTAAATGCTACCGTATCTCGAGAAACTACCCATTCGTCTCGGTACGGTTGGAACTACTCGTCTTGTCTCGTAATAAGAATTTGATGTATTTTTGTTTGTGTCTGGTGGACACGTGAGTGTTGAATTTTGTACTCATACCAGTATACCTGTATACTAACCCGTTTTGTCTCTTGGCACCTCGGGTGCGTTCTGTTTGAGCGCAGTCGAGCTTCCTTTGCAGGATTAGTAGAGGCTTTGGTGGTGACAAGAAATAACTGTGATCGTGGGACATGTCGTCTGGATTTCTTTTGTTTTCTTGAGCTTAGGGTTGATATTAGTTTATGTATTTATTATTTTTTTTAATGACTTTAGTATTGGAATAATTTGGCATGGTTTGTAACCGTACTTTATTTAAGTTGTTTTAACTATTTATTGTTACCTTGATGTTGAGGTATTGGTCAGTTATGAATTTATGGTGGATGGTTTGGTTTGCGTTTAATTTTTTTGGTTCACCCCTAGGATTTAGATGATGGAATATTGATTGGGGTTAATCCTAATATAATATTTAACAACAATGCTAGGTATCATGAAAAGTCTTTCATGAAAATAGTCATGAAAGATTTGTGACTTTTGGATTACACTTACAATAAAGCACCACACACTAATCAAGGTAATCTAAGGATCATAAATTTTTCATGATCATTTTCATGAAAAAATTTTCATGATCACTAACATTTCTCAATATTTAATTGCCTGAATTTTGGGGCATGGCAGGGATTCTTTAAATATTGTCAAAGCTTTGCGGGAGGATGTCGAGCTCTTACCAGGATATGGTCATCTTGTGTCACAAGTGGTGGGTGCTAGTCGACTGTTTCGGAGCTTTCAAGTTTGCTATGTGGGGAGAATGGGCAATATGTTGGCGCATGGCCTAGCTTGGATGGCTAGAGATTTGGACCACCAGCTTGTGTGGATGGAGGAGGTCCTGTAGGCCTTGATTGAAGTTGTTGCTGCTAATGCTGTTTGTAAGTGTCTTTTGTTTCTGTTTGGTTTTCCATCTAAAATAAAAATTTAAAAAAAAAGTGACAAAATATTAGAGTTCTCATATTGTCAACATTTTAAATCATGCATTAGGATTGGAGATGCTCTATCTAACAGGGAATAAAGTTCTTTAACCAATCAATTTGTAACCACAAACAAAACCTAGCATTTATATTCAATTTAAACTAGAATTTATATACAGAACATAGCAAAACATTTTTCTTTTCAATCAAAATAGTTGCTCAAGTTTGGTATACATTGTGCATGCTACGGTACTCTTCAGTTAATTTTATATCCAAGCCAGACTATTCTATCGGCTTCATGTTATTCGATGTGTGTGATGCTTCATGTTAGGATGTTAATGCAGAACCTGTCATAAACTGCCAGCGTATCTGATCAGAGATCTGCGGTTGGGATGACTCATATGGTTGGCAACATGACTATCTACGGTTATGTAGATTGCACACAAGATGTGAATGGTCAGGATGGCACCACGTGCTTGTTAGGTGCTACTGATTCAATACCGTGTTCTTGTTTAGGCAAATGGGCTGGTTGGATTGCTACTCCTATTTGTAACATATAGTTTAACATGGACCCAGTTCATGATGATTGGATCAATCCACCAGAAATTGACACGAATGTGGCGACCGCCACAGCATTGGTGACTGAGCCATCAGCTCCGGTAGATGATGGTGGTTTAGAATCTTTTGCTGGTGACGGAGGAGATGGTAATAAAGAGAGAGAAGTATCATATTGGTTGTTGCGGTGGTTGTGGCATTTCTGGTAGTTGGGGTCATCTTGGGGGTTAGATAGAGGAGGAAGAGAGCAAACAAAATGGGGAAGATGAAGATGATGATGATGATGATGATGATGATGATGATGATGGAGGAGGAGGGCAAAGGGTTCAGATCCTTCTCGCATCATTTAGATATGTTGGTAGCTGCAACTGATAATTTCTCCTCTGCAAATCGTCTTCTGTCCATTTCAGAATGCCAACCAGGATTAAACTTGTATGATCTGATTGATAGATTATAACATTTGATAGGCTAAAACTTATTATAATTCAATTACCTGCATCATTGCTATGAGCATCACAAGGAGCGCATACAAGCCAATTCCACCAGTATACACCAGTATATTTTTAGGACTCTAAAATTAGGCAACTCTAAAGGAAAAGTTTGTAGGAAAACTAATCAGAACAAGTAAATGAATCACCTCACTTAACTCTCTTTGTTGCAAAAAAAATTTCAAGATGAAATACAATAGCTGTAATGGAGGGCACTTAGATATGGCATCCTGAAAGAGAATCACATGTATATTACAAATTGCAAGAACCATATAGAAACAACTCACGCATATCCAACATAAGTGAGAACTTTACTGTATATGTGTAACGCCCCGACTTCTGGGTCGTTAATAAATCAAATTAACCACAAATTTATAATTGCAAATAACTCATAGTGGCCAAATATACAAATCGTCTCCATAAATAATTAACTCAAATGTCTCCAAAACATAAATTATACAAATCTTCAAAAATAATATATAGTTGTGGACTAAAAAATCTCCAACTCAAATAATCTTTTTAGATGCTTCAACTCCAATCGCCACTAAATTTGCTCCATGCCTAAAAAATAAATTAATTCGGGAAGTATACAATACAACAGGAATAACAAGGCTCAGACAGAAAATAAATCAACATGGATCCAACAATGACACAACCAATTAGATTCGATAATCAAGCAATTTATCAAATTGCACAAACAAGTCAACTCGACATATGATAATTTATCCAGAACCAAATACCTGGTCCTACTCGGTACATGACCAGTGACTGGCCTCACCCCCTTCACCCAAGCACAATTGCTTATCCGGGCTATTGGTACAGAGCATATTGGCAAAGTCCACACGATCCATGTACAAAGCATTTCCACATCATTTAGCCAGACAAATCAATATTTCCAACACAGAAAGACTACACAGAGTTCATCAAATGACTAGAGTAATCAAATGAATCAACAACGAATAATTCCACAGAATTTATCAAACGATCAAAATAATCAAGAGGAGTACAAATTTATGGGAATTAAAAATAAACTCTTTGCAAAGAGAATTTAGGGAAGCATATTGTATACCACCGAATTACCTCAAATCAATCTCCTTCGTCTCCAACACTCGAATCTCGATCTTTCTCCACGAATCTCCAAAGTGGCATATGGTATGTAAGATTCTACAACTCTCTTCCTTTACGATAATGCTTACACTCACTCTATAAACTCTTAATCTAAACTCAAAATTTCTATAATTTAAGAGAGAACAATATGAGAGAGATAGAGATATGGATGGACCAAGAAGAAGAATGATAGAAATGGTTGAAAGGTGAGCTCAATTTATAGGCAAGGATGCTTGGGACAAAAGAAACGGAAAATAATAAAATAAAGTTTACTTGGTGGGCAAGAAAGGAATTTACTTGGAAGAAAGGAATTTACTTGGAGTTCAATGAGTTATGAGTGATTAGGGAGCTTAACCTTGGGAAGTTCAATGAATTAGGAGTGATTAGGGAGCTTAACCTTGAGATTAGGCAACACCTAGTTAATTCTTAGTTGAATAGTTTTTTTTGGGGTTTCTAGAATACCATGATTATAAATCTTGAAAATAGGCTTCTCACTTCTCTCTAGGGTAGCCGGTCATTGGGAAGGGTGATGGGGCCAATTTTTTTTAATCAATCTAGGTACTAGGAGCACATTCCTCAATGTATATGTTTATATAGATCTCAATTAATTGATGGTACTTATAGTATAAGATACATGTACTAGTTTTGGAGAAATTTTGAATTTAAATAAAGAAGTGAGGGCTTGAAGTTAAATTCATGTATTGGAACCTTACTTATGTAGAATTTGATTAAATTAGGCTAAGGAACCTAATCCAGTTAGGATGTTCCGATTTTGATAATACTAACCGACAAGAATCGAAATAATTCAAGTAACTGAGGGCTTTAAGAAAATAATTTAAACATTAGGGTTTTTAAAGAGAAAACATTTTTCAGGGGCTTCACAATATGTGAGAAACTTATAAACTATATGTGCATAGATATACATATGTCTACATATATCACCTGTTTGAAACATATTTAAGGAGCCTCTTCATTCCAAAACTTATCACAATAAGTGAAATATAAAGAGCTTATATTCAGGAAAAGCACATAAAATGACATAACTAGTTACCTGATTGCTCTTCTTTGTTGCCCATGCCCATATATGAAGAATTCTAGTGTGCTACTGTCACGACCCCAAACCGCCCCTAGTAGTTTGGTGCCGTGATGGCCAGTAATCCGTAATTACCGAAGGCCAACTTCCAAAATTCACAGACAATCAGAGTATAATATACGGGGCTTACAAGTGCGGAAGCAATAATTCAAAACACAAGTGGTCCATAAAAGCAATGCATAAGTCAAATGGAATGGCATGCATCTTTACATAGCTTTAAAACTTGAATACAAAAGTACATATTACATCTTGGCAAAAGGCTTCTCAAGTCGTCATAAATATAACACATGAAATACAAATCAAGAATACATAATCTACAGTTTGCCGACATCCTCAAAGCCGACGTAACATGCATACAAAACACACATCTCGGCGTAGCCGACTTCTTGCTTGATACCTACGTATATACATAGGGAGGGTGAGCTTGGATACTCAGTGAATGGTACAAGTAATAAAGGGGTTAAATGAATGATTCCCGAGGTCTTGTCAAAACAATATATATATATATATATATATCTTTGTCAAAAACCATACTTATCATAGCTTGTACAAAACATGAGGTAAATCTTGTTCATCAAACTTGATCTTGCAAAACTTACATACTTAACATGTGTCAAAACGACAAGTTGTGAAAATTGCCTGGTAATTGTTTTTAGTTGATTATGTGTGATTTCCCAAAATGGGGTTAATGGTGAAAATTGTGATGCAAATATAAAATAAATAAAGAGTAATTGGTGGATTTTGGTAGTGGTTGTAAATGGGATGTGATTTCCCCAAACTCATGATGTTTAGTCTATTTGTGTTGTTATGTGTAGTTATTGTTTGAATAACTATAAATAGATTATGGCTCCTTTTATACTTGGTATTGCGAAAGTTTAGAGTCCTCCAGTACAAGGGACTCGTGTTACTTAGGCCCGTAGCCCGCTTTAACACTATGGTCTTTCCAAGAAAGGACCGTATCCTTTTATACTTAGTACTGCGAAAATTTAGAGTCCTCCAGCACAAAGGACTATCCGAGAAGGTCATCGAACAAGGCTTACTTAATAACTTGTCATTCAAAACAAAGCTTATACTTGATACATAAAATAGGGATATCATTCATGCTTAACAAATACTTTTATCAAAACAAGGCAAAGCTTTATCAAAACCTTAAGAGCATATCTTTATTAAAAATACCACTCACTCTAGTTCTTGGGACGTTGGGATCAAGGCAAAGGTCCAAGTCCTACAAACACATGGCAAAGCATACTGAACATACATCTCAAAACAAGTCTTACATGCATGCAAATGATCTCGGAAAGACATGCTAGAAGTCAAAACACTGTTTTACAGGTCAGGAAGACATGCTGGGTACCAACCAGGTCTAAGTCGAGGTCCTACACCTCCTTGCCGAGGTGTGGTCCCGATGGCCTCATTCAAAAGCAAAGTTGGGAAAACCTGGGTTTCCCTTTGAAGAACATAAAGAACGTGATGAACATGATCATGAGAAAGATGAATGCAAGATCGTAACTAGTTACAAAAATCTGAGGTTTCATGCCATGAGTTCGAAAACATGGACCTGGGTACCCATACTTGAAAATCATGTGAGAACAAACAAAAAAACATGGATCTTGGCATGAGCTTTCGGATCAAAACATGGCTTTTCTTGAAGAACACATAAATGCTATTTTCTCTTTCTAAAACCGAACTTCAAAGCAATGCATGGCTTGCAAATCATATTCGATCATGCAATGCAATAACATAAACATGAAGAACGACAAGAGCAGATCAAGAATCTAACCTAACGACAAGAGCAGATCAAGAATCTAACCTTAGAACACGAATCTAACGGTTCGATCTCTAGGAATCAAGCTTAGAAATCCACTCTCTTTTAAGAACTCTTCTTCCTCTCCTAGAGCTTCTCTCTCCTCTTCAAAACAAGTATACAACAAAATGGTGGGTTCTCTCTCTCTATCGGCTGACTTAACTCTCAGCTCGGACACGTGGCAACGGCCGGTTGGTTCTCTTCAAAAAGGTGATGGATTGACAAGACAAGGCTCTGACAAAGCGTATCTAACAAGCTACTCGAAATGGCACTCCGGCAAGTGGTGACAATGACCTCGGCTAGGAAGGACAACACTTGACTAAGCTGTGCCACACCTTGGCCTAGATGTGCCACACCTCGGTCTAGGTCATACCACTCCAGGACAAGATCACTCAGGTGTAAAAGGTAACATCTCGGCCCAGATAATACACATCTCGGCCTTGGTGATTCACACCTCGGCCTAGATAATGACATCTCGGCCAATATGTCAAAGCAAAGGTGGAGGTCAAACGAAGGGGTTCCAAGATACTTCTAGACTGAAGATGACCTCGGCTTGGAATGATCTAGGCTTAACATCAAGGAAGGAGCAAAGCATGCACATAACACTTAGACAATCACAAAGACATCAAAACAAGGCATGGATCTTACTTAGGCAAAACAAGTCACAAAAATACAAATGCAAGCTTAACAAAACAAAATCATGCAAATGTACATGAACATGACTAAGACATGAATGTGGGTTATTACAGCTACCTAACCTATTTCATGGTTATACATTAGGTTGTTATTCATTTAAAAATAAATCAGATTAGGTTGTTATTCATTGAAGAAGTGGTACTTGAATGGATTTTGCACTCTTTCTGGAAGAACCGATCAGGTCTGAAAGGATCAATCTCTAGCTCCACTACAATCAAAATTCTTGGAAAGTCTCTGCTACAATTGCAAATAAAAGAATGGAATGTGAGAAGCATAATTCCAACTAGAAGTAGTACCAGAAAAATTAAAATTACAAACATAATTAAAAATTCAAATTAACAACAAAAATTTTAGTTTACCTTTGCCAACCAAAAACAGAAACACAAAATTAACTAAACAAAATCAATCAATATGTAGGTTGTATATACAAACATATATATATATATATATATACATATATGTTTTTTAAGCATATATATGTTTACCATTTTATCAGTGGATTTAGCAGAGCACGTCATGACAAGCATGTCAAGCTGGTTTGTTCAAATTTCACTATAGGTATGGATCATAAATATTATACTGATATAACCGAGAAATAAATTAGATGAGATAAAATGAAATAATATCAAGATTAATAGTAAATAGATCAAAGGAGTTAAATTTTCTTACCATCCAAATCCAGTACTAGGGTAGTGGATTTCATTTTCTGATGTGAACATGGATATGCTTTACATATACAAAAGATACTTCAAAATCTAAAATTTTAGTTCAGTTTTTGCAGAACTAGTCACCTTGTTTGGTTTAGACTGATTTTCTAAAAATTGAGATTTTTAAAAGATGGCATAAGCTGATGCCCTATTCTAATCATTAGAGCAGAATAATTGATCAATATAATGTAAGAATATCATTCTCGTAAGAAGTTGCCATAACAACTATAGTCACCAAAAGCCCAAGAACCAGAAAAACAAACAAACACCCAATGAACCTTCAACCTTGTGATCACATTTTTTTAGAAAATCACCAATCCATCATCCAAGTTTCAAAGATCAAAACACAAAATCAATGACTCCATTTGTTAATGAAGAATTAATTGCTTTCACCAACCAAGCCACACAAACATTAAACAAGACAATGACATCCACCTAATTTCCTGTTCAAAATTATCTTTGTTTCTAATTAGCAAACATCAAAGAAACATAAAAGAGTACCAAATTTGATTTTTCACATTCTTATACCACAATACAAACCACCAAACAACAAAAGAATCCAACCAAAATTTTAATTTAATTAATTATTCTTGAATTTTTGCCTAAATTGACCCAAAAAAATTCATTCACCTGGGTCCTCATTAATTATTCTCCAATCTTTATATTTGCAAGTATCGTATTTCAATATTCTATTTGAGAGAAATAATCCATAACATAACGATACTCGGAACTAAACAGCAACTTTAGCCAAGGTAGCCATTGCATAGTTCAACTTCAAAGGGTTGTTGTAACATTAACTATGTTGAACTCTAACAAAGAATTAGAATTTTGCTACAAGCCCTCTAAAACCAAGTGAAATGTTCCCTAAAGAGAACCTCATAAATTATGCATAAGAAGCACAATTAAAAAATAATTATCAACACTCACTTCCAGTTCAACTCATGACATTATACAAAAAGCAATTCCTACATATTTGCAGAGCTCAATTCAACAAGCAATTTAAAGGAACTCAAGTACAAGTTGGATTGGGATCAAGAATAAGTAGAGAACTCGCATCAAATGAATAGGAGAAACAGAATATAGGTTGTCCAAAACACAAAGTTCCAGCAACAAGAAGTTCCATTTGTATGATTTGACAAAGTAAGAAAATTTAAAATAAAAGTTTCGAAAATTTTGTACCTTTCCATATGCCTTCTCAAATGCTGCTATCATTTCCAAATTGACGTTCCTTTTCAATTGCAGCAGACCATACACTACAAGAGGAGGAGAACACGAGTTCATATGTCAAAAACCTAATGAACAAATGATTTCAAATTTAACAAATAAATTCCAATAACATTGAAATTGTGCCTATATGATAACCATGTGTCATTGAAAATCATGAAAAACCACCAAGAAAACAAATTGGTCAAATTTTGATAGGGAGAAAGTGACACCTAAAATTTTGAATAAGTACAAGTTTGACTTTAAAATGTACACATTTGTCATTTTGGACAAAAACATATTTAAGGTGTTGACTTTGAATTCATTTTCTCCAAATTGCCTCATTGAAAAATTATGACACTTTCCAAAAATATATTTGAGTCTAGTTTTTAACCCCGTTGATCTTGCATGATGAATTCATTGTGTTTCAAAAGATATTCGATAGCCAAAAAAAAAAAAACAATGACAATGGGTTAGAATCCATCCGAGTATAATAAAATAGGTAATTCTCCCTTAAATTTAAGTCAAAAGTGGCCCATCTTATGTCAAAATAAAGATAACAAAGGAGACTAGTTGATGTAAAATTTTTAAAGTGTGGTTGAAAATACTGTAAGAGCTATGACCTTGAAAGAGGACTATTGTGTAGGCAATGTGCTAGAAATTTGGTACAAAAGTCTTTTTGAGTTTTATAATTGGTCAAAGTGCCTCAAAGTGCTCTTGAAAGGTTCATGTAGGATGTACAAGTTTTTTAAGCCTCATCATAAACATCCCAAGCCTTTAATCATAGAATTAAATAAAATAAAATTAAAAAAGTGCATATAACCAACTATACATAATGAGATTGTTAACTAGGACAGCCAACTGCTCAAAATGACAACTTCTTGAACATAGAAATTGTAACAATTACCATTTTAAGAAGAAACGGAAAATGTAAATAACTTGGACAGTTTGGTCAATGAAACCCACATCTTTTGTTTCATTCTCTAGCTCCATCACCTCAACGCCTATAATTTAAGCAAAAACAAGAAAGCCCCCTCTCAAATTTGAAGATGTGACACAAGCACTAACTATCTTCGCTGGTACGCCAGCAAGTTAAGAAACTATAAAGTTTTTTATATTCGGTAAAAGGCAGGCTAAAACTCTGGCCCAACCAAGTGCAACTAAGAATTGAAAGAATTTGTAATGTGATCTTATGGGGCCTTAAACCTCAGAGAACAGCTAAGAATGTGCACTACAATTATTTAAACACTATCCATTTTGCATTAAACTCATATAATTTCACAAGTGACCTAAAGAAAAACACTAAAACAAACAATATTACAGACTAGTGGCCTCAAAATTAGAAATGGTTCTCAAATGGACCAATTAAAAAACATAGAATGTTGTATAATACTGATATCAAATTTACAGATAGTTTTCATCTAATCCTATGACTGCAAAAGGGGAATATTATAGTTAGCAAAAACCTAAATGCGCCATGGACCAAAACCATTATATCATACAAAAACATAGTAACAAATGGAAAAATGAGAAACATAAACAGATGTCCCTATACAAGCTATAGAAAATGAGAAAACTTCATATCAATAATTTACAAAGTTGGAAGCCAGTGTCAGCTCTCTCAAATCACAAGTTAAGCCCACATATCATGCACATCATAAATAATGCAATAATAACGCCAATTCCCATGTTAACTTAAAGTTTTCTTTTTAAAATATAAAATTAGTGCCCTAATACATTTAGCATAGGGGCACATGTTTGCTCTTGTTTTTCGGTTTCACTTCTAGATTCCTCTATTGTTTCTTCCAAACTTATCACAATATGGATGATTTTTGCATTATGAAAAAGTTAAGATCATGGCAAAAGCAAGCAAAATAAATCACAAACATGTGTCTACTTTAATAAGAAAATAAACTTACATAATCAGTTCCCAACAAATGAGAAAGACGCAAAAGACACATGTACACAAACACAAACATGTGAAGAGCTACTTTATATATATATATATATATATATAGAGAGAGAGAGAGAGAGTAACAAAATAAAAAATGGTAATTTATACTTACAAGGGAAAATAAATAATTGGAATAGAGACACATTAGTTTCCTAAATTTCTGTATGCCATATCGGGATTTAATTCATTGTTTAAATTAGTTTGCTCCATGGAAAGATTGAGTGTAGTTGAGGCTTTTAGTCTGAATATGGTTGTAAGCTCCTCCAAAATTGTTCAATAAATTTGTCGAATTAGACCATAGATAGAAGGATGTTCCTAAAACTATTTACACTTGACATAAAAAAAAAAAAAAATCAAAACTATCAAGCCCATGATTTGCAAGACTTTGCAAGTTTAAGTTCTTAACACTTAACAGTGAAAATGTGAATCGAAGCTAGAAATAATAAGGAAGCATAATTTACAGCTAACACTTAACTGGAAGTTGGTTGCTCAAGATCTTTGATTCATTTCATCTAACGTTTTAAAACATGAACAATTCAATAAACCATGTAATAGACAATATTAAAACTATGCTATTAAAATTGTGTATTCTATCCCAAATTTGGATTAATTTAAGATTATGATGAGAGATTCACAAAATTTTATCAATTTAGTAATTTAACTAATTAGTTCAAATTTTACCCTTTTTTTTTTCAACAAAAAACTTTTACTAACGTCTATTTCCTTAGTCTACAAATCAGGCCAAAATTTGCCTTCTTTTTTATATCTTCCCAACAAAAAACTAATTAGTCCAGAAATCGATTGAGAAAGGGATAGACGTTATTGTTGCAGATGGAGGGGTTTTGGGTTTAGGGAATCGTAGAGGGGTTGAAGTTAGGATGAGGGCTTAGGGTTTAGGGAAACTCGCTGAAGTGAAGAGGGAAAATATATATAGAGAGACAGAGAGACAGAGAGACAGAGCTTCATACCTGATATCTGGTTGGAGAGAATGCCTTATTATCTTGTCGATGGAAATCAATGGTAGTGTAGAGATTCAACAATGAAACCCAACAGAGGCTGGTAGTTGTTGTTGGAAATCAAGGGTTACACAGTGAACCTTACACAAACGGTGAGAGCAGCAGAGAGGAATAGAAGAAAAGCGAGAGAAGAAAAAGAGAGTTGCTGTGGGAAGAGAGAGAGAGAGAGACGAAAGGGTTAACCGGTTGCCCAGGTTTCCATTTTCCCCAATTAAACAATTCAATGGTCCTGATCATTTTTTTTCTAATCCAAGGGTTAATACTTAGGGTGCATATGGTGTACAACCTTAAGAGGGTTGCACACTTAAACAGAACCAATCAATTTATACCAAACATAGACAGATGCATCGGATTCAAAACATGTGATTTACCTAGATGAGATTGGTGATGATACTTGAGAGAATGCCCAACCAGACAATAACAAGTTCCGCAGCAAGGCAAAGTTGTTAGGCTAATAATAGAGTAGTTTTGGGAGGATAGAACACATACATTGAATGAAATTCAAATTTCAGTGGTCATTTGAACACTTCGTGAAAGAAGTTTAAACCCAAAAAAGTAGCATGGCATAGAAATGTATAACGTTAAGGCGCCAGGAATGAATAAGTCATCAAGAGGTACGAACTATAAAATAATTAGAGAAAAATACCTCAATGCCCTTGCAGCAATAACCCAACTACCCTCACTAGTAGGCAAGAGACTAAGACACACTCAATCAGCCACTACCTGCAATTCCACTAACATATGAATCTCAAAGAAACAAAAAATAAATAAATAAATACCAAGCAACGATAACTTCAATAATTACAACATTATGTATGCCTTCAAAAAGTTCAACAATGGATACATATAACCAAACCTACAAACCACCATTACAAACTGTCTCATCAAACATAGCAAATAATTGTCCGATCCATACCAAATAAAGCTCTAAAACAAGTTTACAAGATAACATTAAAAGGAGTAATTTTCTTAAGCGAAACATTTTAGTCTTTTCAGTTTGTTTTGTTTTGTTTTGTTTTGTTTCCTATTCAAACAAACCAGCTTAACAAAAATTTCAAGTTGAGGCTACAATTAAATAACAACTCAACCAAACAATTTACTAGTTCAAGAAATCATGACCAGAATAATACAATTTAAAAGAAAACAGAGCAGAATATAGACAAGTAAACCCAATAACATGACTTCTGACAATTTGAGCTACTTTACAATATAAATCAACTCATTAAACACTAAAGTCAAACTTGGGGGTGAAAGTGTTATCCACTCATATGCTTACACCCCGTCAAAGTTGATGGGAGATATTCGATAGAGGATTGACATTGAAACTAGACCAAAACTATGTAAACTTTTGATTGTCACAATTGAAACTAAAAACAAGGTGAAACTTAGGTCAAAGTAAAGGGGTGCAAAGTGCATGAAATTGTATTTCATAGAAGGTAAGGCCTACTCTAAGTTGTAGCTTTACAATGACATGGCATATAAAAGGCCCTTGGTTATTATTATTAATAAGATAGATTCCAAGAGCATCTTGCCCTTTTTTCTATTAGTAAGGTTGTCAAAAGGTATTGACCAAGCCAAAACTTGAGTTTGATTGCAGGGGCACACATTAGCATGCCAACAACATAAAAAGGCTTTTGTTGCTGGCTTAAAAAAAATAAAAAAATAAAAAAATAATAATAATTCAACTCATTAAACACATAGTCTAGAACATATGCATATATATATGTATGTGTGTACATAGTGTGCAATTCATAAGTAAACTAGCATTTGATACACAAAAGAAAATAAATAAACAAGAGAAAAAAAATGACAAAATGAATTAAAATCATTGAGTAAATATAATCTGATGGGACTTAAGGCTTGGTTTGATTTGAGCAAATATAATCTAAACCAAATACACTAACACACACAAATATAATCATTTAGCTCTTGAAGTAATACATTTACTTTCACCATATATTGTAAAACTGCATATAAATCCAATCCAAGATTACTTTGAGCTCAAATTTTCTATAGATTGAATATAAACAGATAATTTATTATTTTTTAAATATATATTCCACAATCATTGCCACTGGATCCGCAATTACGTTAAAGTCCCCATGTTTTGCAAAATAGGTTTTAAGTTTTAACTAGGGCTAAAAAAAGAGACCATAACCTCTTCCAATTCCTAGAATAGAAAACAGACTTCAAATGGGGAATGACCATATTATATGAACCCAACTGCCGTTGTATTTTTGTTCAAAAAAAAAAAATGTCTTTGAATTTTTGGGTCATTTTTGGTTTTAGACCAAGAAATAAACAAAACACTATTAGCATTACGAATTGCAGAGCTATTTTCATTGATAAGGTTTTTAAAAAGGGCACTGTTGGAAAATAAAATGATTAATGCTATGTGAATATAAAATTCATACATAAAATTGAACGATATGATTGCTCAAGCATATTGTTTTGACATTGATTTTGTGACATTCTGTATAACAATTATGTTTGTAAATCATTTTTCAAATTAAAAAAATGCAATCAAAACACGAGAGAGCAGGAGAGAGAGAGAGAGAGGAGCTGTTCAGTCAAGACAGCAACTGGTTGAGAGGGTTTCAAGTTTTTTCCATTACATTATTCAATGGCTCAGATTAGTTTGTGGAGATTCAATGGTTAAGATATAAGGTGCACATGGTAACAGGACCCAAAAATCAAAAGTGACAAACTAGTGAAAAAGATATTCTTTATATTTTGCAAGAAACATTTATGTATATTTCGCAAGAAATTAAAAAGCACCCTACCATGTTGCTATGGGTTGTACACAAAATTTAACAATCTTACATTTCCAACATTATCATTTATCACGCAAAACAACAAGGGGAAAAAAAAATTCAAAATTTTCCCTTTTTCACACTTTTTACTACTTCAAACCTAAGGTTCGACACTAATCTTTCATGGTTGCTAAGAAAGCCTCCACACTTAGAGGGAAGACAGTAATTCATGGATTGTCTTAGCATCAATACACTTCGAAAAAAGTATGCGGAGGAAATTTATTTTATTAAACATAAGCTTCATGTGGATTAAAAATTAAAATTAAAATCGTATAACAGAGGAAATTCATTTTATTAAACATAAGCATGTTGACTGCATTTTAGCTAAGATTAAAATCATATACTTCAATTCTTTTTAGCTTTTCACATTTTTTTGTTGGTTAGAGTCTTTTCCCCATTATCTTGTCAACTGCTCATCCTTAAACAAGGATACAAGTGAAGTTCAAGCACTATTTGATTAGCATTTTTAGAAGTATTTCTATTCTATGTGAACTACGTTCGCTTATATATATATGTATGTTTTTAACAAACCAATTAAACAAATGCTTTACTTGAGATGGCTATTTAATTCAACTAGAACAACAAGTATTAAACATTACCAAAAACACTTACAAATTGGGAGGTCCCAACCACAAGTTATAGTTGCTTCATGTGAATATCACTAAATATATTTTGGGATAAATCTTCGGAGAACATGTTAAAGTCAATCACAAGTTTTCAACATCTAAATGCAATGAAAATATAGTTCCAAAATACATTTGTTTAAATTGCTAACAAACTAGGCATTTTTACAAACATCTTAACTGCAATCAAAATTCAAATAACAAAATTAGACCTATAATTTTAATGCCAAAATTTCTTATGAAATATTTTGCAACAACTCAAGAACAAGTCATGGAAGCAACAATATAGTTACAAAATACTATATTAATTAATGTAAAAATGGATTATTTCATTAAGAATGTCAACCGAGATATATAAACAACAAAATAGAACAAAATCATTACCAAGCTTTGCTTCACTACAAATTTTGAATCAGTGTGAGCCAAGAGAGACTGGAATAGAAATTCAGATAGCACTAGAGACAGAAAATAGGGTAAAAATTAGAGAGTATAGTTTTAGAAGAGGGGAGATTTCAGAAATATACACATAGAGTAAAAAATTGGGGAATAAGAGAGTTTTAAAAGAGGGTTTAGGGTTTCAGAAATAATCAGAGGGAAGCATACCTTGTTGATTGCTCTTCAAAAAAAAACTCCTTCGTTTTCTGACAAACCAAACAAAGGCTCACTGGGTTAGATTAGAGTTTTAAACCGAACAGCCACTTAGAATCTGCAGTCAGTCGAACTAGAGGAAGACAGACGAATGAGCGCAATAGACAGAGAAGAGAGAGAGGAGCAGGGGAAGAGATCACTCGAAGGAGGGAGTAGCAGAGGGAGAGGGAGGGAGAGAAACGAAAGAGTGAAAGTAGAGAGAGAGAATACCCTGTGAAAGAAGAAGAGAGATGGTCAACCGGTTGCTCTCCGGTGGTCCAATTTTTCAAAATGAAAGAATTCAATGGTCAGGATGTATTTGTGTAATCCAATGGCCAATAATGAAGGTGCATATGGTGTGCAACCATTTAGGGGGTGCACACTGCAACATGACCCATGATTGAGAATTGATTTGTAAATTGATTTTTGTAATGACTTTTTAATTTTTTATATAAAAAGATGTGTAAAAAAATTAGAGGGAATAAATTGATTTTTGTATTGACTTTTTTGTTTCCAAACAAGATCCAAGTTTTTTTTGAACAAAAACAAGACCCAAGTTTGATTAAGGTTTTAGGACATCAACTAAGGTGTTCCATTTACATAATATAGATAATGATTGAGAATTGGTTTGTGAATTGATTTTATTTAGTAATTTTTTAATTTTTTACAAAAAAAAAATATTAAAAAAATAGAGAAAATAAATTGACTTTTGTATTGACTTTTTTGTTCCCAAACAAGACGTGAGTTTACAATTTTTCCCCAATTATTCTTCTCCTACAATTGAAGAATTATTAAGTAATTATTGAATCATATTACATATATAATACGTTGTCAAATAAAAATTCACAACACACACTAGCCTTCGTTTGGGATATGAGTTGATTTTTTAACTTTTTGATTATTTTAGAGTTAAAAAGTCTTGCTTGGAATATTTTTTTTTGACTTTTTTAATTTTTGTGAGAGAAAAAATAAAATAATTATGATTTAAATATAATATTTTGTCTTATTAATTTTTTATAATATTTTATCTTTTTGTAACTAAAATAATTCCTAAGATGATGTGACTTAAATAAGATAGTGACTTTTTGACTTTTTGTATTATTTAAGTTATGCCAAACTTAGCCTAAGCCTTCGTTTGGGATATGAGTTGATTTTTTAACTTTTTGATTATTTTAGAGTTAAAAAGTCTTGCTTGGAATATTTTTTTTTTGACTTTTTTAATTTTTGTGAGAGAAAAAATAAAATAATTATGATTTAAATATAATATTTTGTCTTATTAATTTTTTATAATATTTTATCTTTTTGTAACTAAAATAATTCCAACCCAACCTAAACTTTCCTGCCAAACGAATCCCAAGTCATCTCTCGGTATAATTCCACCCCTGCCCAACTGGATGAGGGTATGGAGAAGTCTTATCAATGACGTTTCCCATATTACAAAGGCATGGAAGCGTCAATTGAACGCACCGACCAGGGGTCCATTTTGATGCCATTACCTAATAGCCGTCCAAACTTTTTGTAATAAATTTAAGTTATTATCTTAAATTATCATTTTATAGTTGTCCACTTTACTAAGGTATCCCATCTCAAAATCTTTGTCTAACTAAACCCAAGGGTGGATGGCATTGTGGTTAAGACTTGGAGATTAAATCCAAAGGTCATAAGTTCAATTCCTTTTCTTTTGGGTCAATCTCTTGGGCCCAGCACAGTTGGTTAGGAGGTTGGACCTCAAGTTGTCTAATCAGCACTTGGTGTGAGTTTAATACTCTCCCGCTATGCGAATCCCGACTTAAGCGGAGCTTGTCTTGAGAGGCCGGGGCAAGTTCTCAGGTTATAGTCTCCTCGCTCGGAACGGCTAACAGGACACCCTAGTGATCTCTGCAAAGGGCGCTATCTTGGACTTGCAGGAGGATTTTCCTGTAACAAAAAAAAAAAAATCTTTGTCTAACTCAATAGGTCGTTTCTTTTTTGTGTTTTGAAATTTTTATTGAACAACTAAAATCACATGGGATACAAGAAGAAGAAGAAAAAAAAAATTTAGAGATGAAGTGTGTTTGATTTGGTTTTGAGAAATAAAATTTTAAAAAAAATTTGAGAAGGGAGTTTAGAAATTTTTTTGGTTTGTTTGATTGTATATTTTGAAAATAGTTTTGGAGTATGCGAGTTTAGAATGATTTGATATTTTATTGTAGTTGAGTAGATGTGTATGAGAAAAAAAATAATTGAGAAGGAGAGAGGAGAGAGAGAGAGAAAGTGATTGATTGATGTGTAAGATAGAGAAAGTGATTTTGAATTTTTTTTTTTTAAATCACTAAATCAAACAAAATTTTAAAAATTTTTCTCTAAAATTACTCTCCCAAAAACAAATTAAACAAGGCCGAAAAATCCTCATCCTCTAGATCAACTTAACATCATCACTCTTTTATTTAAATTTATATTTATATTTAACATCCGTTTAGAAAGTTGAGATTGGGGCTTTTTCAGCTAAAATAGTCACACAAAAATAAAATAAATTTTTTAATTCAATAAAATAAAATATTGCATTCAATCTATAATCATTACATTCTATCTTTTACAAAAAATCCAAAAAATCAAAAAGTTTTATCAAACGAGACTTTTTAACCTCAAGATAAAATAATCAAAAAGCTAAAAGGTCAAAAAGTCAACTCACTTCCCAAACAAACCCTTATATTTTATTTTGGAGAAGGATTATCTCTTAAGAAAAATGTTAGGGATACCAAATATTTTTTACCAATATTTTTACTAAATATCTCACATATGTGTCAGACCACACCATATGAGCCCTATATGGATCCCACATCCATATAAAATATTTGATAAAAATATTAATAAAATATTTAAAATTTCGAGCATTACACATCTAATAGATTGGATGTCTGATTAGGTTGTGTGGGCCTACTATATAACTCACCTTAACTATCAAATTCATTTAGTTTTTCAAGTCTCTATGTACATGAGACATGAAAAAAGTTATTAGATTCAACAATCGTACTTATATGCTTTTATTATATTTATTTTTTTTAAATTTAAAAATGAATATAAGTTTAAAAAATACTATATCAATTTAATTGAAAATAAATATAATAAAAATATGTGAAGGGTATACTATTATCATATTAATTTTTTTAAAAATATTTACTCAAAAATTTAAAAGTTGAATAAATAGAATCACTAAAATAACTCTTGAGTCGCCCATCTATATCTATATATATATATAATCTTTTGATGGGCCACAAATTATTGTGTAAATTGGAGACAAACTATCTCTTTTTAAGATTTTGGAATAATCTAAATAGTGTACTTTTTAACTTTTTATGAAATATGAATTGGGTATAATGTAACTTAAATGAGATAGTGACTTTTTGACTTTTTAACTTTTTTAGAGGATGACAAACAAGCCAATAATCTCCAATTGGATTACATAGACAAAATTAGAAACTTCATAGATTGCATAGACCAAATAAATAGTTTAAGAATGAAATAATTTTCAGAAAATAAAAAGTATGAAATAGAAAAATTAGTGATAATTTAGGAGATAAAAAGTGAGTGTTTGGAAAGTTGTTATTTTAGTAAGCAAAATTTTTTATCTTTAAGAAGATTATTAGATTTCTTTGTAGTGAGATGTGATATTTGTGAGAGAAAAAATAAAATAATTATGAATTTAATATAATATTTTATTTTATTAATTATTTTAGTCTATCTTATCTCGTAGTTTTTAACATTTAATAAAAAACAAAAAAAGGCTAACATTTCACTTCCCAAACAGCAAGAGATCCATAACCGTTGGCAGAAGAATACAAAAACTTGCAAAGTTTGACAGTGGCATCCTGTAACAATAACAACAACACGCTCCTTGGGCCCAGCACAGTTGGTTAGGAGGTTGGACCTCAAGTTGTCTAATCAGCACTTGGTGTGAGTTTAAAGAAAAAGTAAGACAAAAAAAAAAAAGGTAAACCCAAAAAAAAAAGAAAGATAAGAACGTCTCAATTTTCTCTTCCTATGGCTCTGCCTTTATTCTTTCTCACTCTGTTTTTATTTGCCTTCCCATCCAAAACTTTAAAACCACATTTTAGTTTATGAGAGTAAATACACAGGTTTTATAGAGTCACTTCTCTTTGTTCTTTGAATTTCTTGGACTTCTCTTCATTGATTACAGATACCAGCCATGTCGTTCAGAATCAGGGGGGTACATCTCTCTCTCTCTCTCTCCCCCCCTCTCTCTCTCTATATATATATATATCAATTCATCATAGAGTTTATGTTATGAGGTTGATTTTCCATTTGTCACATCCTAGCATTACTGAATAATTAGAATTTCATAATTTTTGTCAGGGTATATCATGAACTCACTGTTTATATGAAATTTTGTTCCATATGGATCACAAGTGATCTTCTTTATATACAGAGAGTTCCTGGCATAGATAACTGTATATATTTGTCTGTATAAGTTGTGTTTATTTTTTGATTTCTTGTATTAAGTAGACCAATTTAACAGATAGAGACCCACACACACAAAAAAAAGGAAAAAAAGAAAAAAAAAATGATGATTTAGTCTTCAACTTGCAAAGAATTAAACTTTTGTGATATCTATGCAAATTCTAGTGGGGCAATGAATAAATGATTGATTTTTTCGCTTTCCACTATTTTTTTTTTGTTTTTGTTTTTGTTCTTGTTGCATATGAAGCAAATTCTAAATATCTACAGCATGCCGGAGTGGGAGAGAAAACCCCCAAAACATTTGTTAAAGACCTAGGAGGGTTTGGTGTCGAATCCCGAATTCCTAATGAGATGCAAGTTTTTTGGCCAAGGGGCTTTCCCATATTAGTTTTGCCTCCACCTTTTATAACTAATTCTGTTCTGTTTTATTTACATTTTAAATTTTATTTTATTTTTCTTTGGGACCATACTTTTTTTTTTTTTCCCCTTTTGTTTTTCAGATAAATTGCTTGCATAAATTCTAATGAAAATTATTGGGAAGGATTGTGTTGAGATTATTAATTTTTGAATAAAAAGTTTGGTTTAGATAATGCTTTAAAATATATATTGAGGCAAATTGTGATCAAATTCAAGCCCTTTATGTTTTTGGCACTTCATTCTTATTCTTTGTTCCCAAAATTTGGTAACCATTGCATGAGTGTCTTTGTAAAGTTTCTTTTCAAATCAAGGAGCGATTAAGCATTTTATGTGTTTGTGTATTAGATTGTGATCACATCTCTAAAGAAAACTTGCTGTGTGAAATAGGGATTCAAAGTCATCAATCTTTTCTGATGAATATTGCTTCTGTTCTCCCATTTTTCTGAACGTCTTATATGTATCTGGTTTTGGTGTCAGCCAAATGCTTCTTCAGGCATGGGTGTTGCTGATCACAGCAAAAACACATTTTTGGAGCTGAAGAGGAAGAAGGTTTATCGTTATGTAATTTTCAAGATCGATGAGAAGAAAAATGAGGTTGTAGTTGAGAAGACTGGAGGTCCAGCTGAGAGTTATGACGATTTCACTGCGTCCTTGCCTGAGAATGATTGCCGATATGCCATTTATGACTTCGATTTTGTGACTTCTGAGAATTGTCAGAAGAGCAAGATATTCTTCATCGCATGGTAAGCTTTCAAGATATTCTTGAAATCAAAACTTTGGATAAACACACATACATGTTGATATGGTGTGTCTACATATATATTTTTTTGTTGCTAAAATATCTAACTATTAGTTTTTTCTTTCTTTTGAAACTTATTTTTATTTATTTTATTTTTTATGCTGATGTATTGCTATCACCTGCAAATGAGATATGCTTTATGGTTCTGTAGTTCACTCTTTTGGTATAATTTTTTTCTCAATGCTGTCCTATTTAAGGCTTTAATGCCTATATAATCCCCAAATTAAAAGTATACATTGTCCTGAGTCATATCGATCTTTATGAATCATATATTAAATATTTGTATCGATGCTCTGCTTTTGTAAAATAATTAAGATTCTATATTTGCATTCTAGGAAGGGAAATGGCACATTCCAGCCTTTTCATTTTGTGGAAAGAAGTCTATATTTCTCCAATAACTTCTTGACATTTTGTTTTGAGTCATCATTTATCTGTTGTCACATAGGCTTTTTCAACCATTGTGATTGGCACTTTCCAAACCTCGGGCTGGGATGCAAATCATGCGATAAAGCTACTCACCATGAAATTTGTCAAGAATGTTATCAGTAATGAGAATGTGTGATTGAGATTTAATTGGTGTATTGTGGGGTTCAGACATAGAATGAATTTGAAGATGTTTTTGGGTAAAATTGAGTAATGTGATGAGGATCAATCTCTGTCACACTTTTTAATATGTCTTTACTTATTTTTTTTCTCCTACTCCCATGGTGATGGCGTTTTTCTATCACTCATTATCACAGCTTGAAGAATTATGCCATTAGTCTCTCAGTTTCAGATTTATTTTTTATTTTCTAATTTCATATGTGTGATATTTATGTTGATCAGGTCACCTGCAGTCTCCCGAATTCGTGCAAAGATGCTGTATGCCACATCCAAAGACAGGTTTAAACGGGAGCTTGATGGTATCCATTATGAGATTCAGGCTACTGACCCTACAGAGATGGATCTTGAAGTTATTAGAGACCGTGCACACTAAAGTGTCTGCAAGGTTTGTTTCATGGAAGAATAGAAAATGAATAGGATTTTGCCAATTTATGGATAAGTGCTTCCATTCCAGCTACTTATTATCTCATCTGCAGAATCCATATTCTGGCACAAGAATGTATTGCTTAAATAATTGGCACCGAGGATTCTGATATGAAGGTCTGGGCTAATGTTATTCAATTGTTTTTAAGGTTATGTCATCATTGCTGCTTCTCTAACAGTATTTATGTACTCTGAAACAGATAATTATATGTTTTGTTTCTGGCAACTATAGTCTCTCCTGTTGTGTTTCTTTTGTTTCTTTTTACAATAGAAACCTTAGTAATTGCCTTCAGACTTGGCATGCTCATAATCCCCTTAGGCCATGTTTGTTTGGGTGGACATGAGCTTGGGATTGGACTAATAGTGCAATAAGGCCATGTTTGTTTGGGTGGACATGAGCTTGGAATTGGACTAATAGTGCAATAAAATTATTAATCTGATGTTTGGGTAAACAATTGAAGTATAGATTAATTATTTTAAACTTGACTATTAATTAAGATAGGATATATAATCCAACGAATTCGTAGTCCTAGGACTATTAGTCATGGGAATGCTAATCCAGTCCGCCCAAACAAACATGGCCTTACTGTTTTCACTTTCCCCTTTTCCTCGTCTTTGTTGGCTAAGCAAAGAGCTTTTTTTGGGGGCCTGAAGCAAAGATTTATATTCTCATCATAAGGACTTAAAGAGAAGAACCAAATAGGGCCTAGTAAATTGATTAGCAAGTCACCTATTATTCCTATTTTGTTATTTTTTTCCCTATTTTTTCTTTCTAGGCACCTCTACTCATGTTCACCAAAGGAAGCATTCTTTGGGCTACTCAAATGCAGTACCTTAAAGGCCAAGGAGTTGATCTAGCGAATGAGGTTCTCCCTTACCAGGCGCGTGTTGTGACCCATGTCATACGAGGGATGGCTTTAACAATCATAAATGATGGCCAATGCAACAAAAAGAAATGTAGGCTATATTGACAAGAGGGTGAGACGTGCAACATAATGAATGAGTTGCCAACATCATGTAGATTTATTACCCATATATATTTACAAAATGGGGATCAAGGAAATTTGCGATACTGACTTGGAAGATTTTTTGGAGGACTTCTTGGCTGCACAACCCCAACTCTCAAGTTTAAATACCCTCTCTCAAATGCTTACAAAGTAGAGATGAGTAGAGTAACAATAAATGATAGTTATTCAAGTGAAGTGCTTTTTTTTGTACAAGTTTGGACAAAATTTCAGTGAAAAGCTTCTTTTTGTGTGTACCAACTTTGGAGGGTATACCGAGAGAGTTCGTAAGTACCTACCGTGAATGGAGCTGGTATTTTTTATTTTTTATTTTTGTATACCCATTTTTTAGATAACAGAGGAGGTTCTATATTAGTCTTGTGATTTTTTCTCCTCTGTATTGGACGGTTTTTCACATAAATCTTGATGTGATTTGTGACGTGTATTTTTCCTGTTTTGCTAAACTAATTTATTTTTGTATAATTAAATTCATACTAATAGTCACTATGCAATTTTGTTGTCCCTTATTCCCTTCCTACCAATTGTAATAATAATAATAATAAAAAGGAGTAGCTTGCTTTAGTGGGTTCAATAAGTCATGGTTGCACCCTATGTACACTGATTTAAGCAGGTACATGCATACTGCATTGCAATTGAAGGACAGTGGGACTGCTAAGAAGAATGTAAATAATAAGGGATTAAGAAGATGGAAGCTAAATTCAAGGACCATATAGCTCTGTATAAAAGATAAAAAGTACCAAAGTTCTGGTTGTGTTGTGCCAATATGGACGAAAAGAGATACTACTTATTGTAAGTATTTCCGATGGAAAGCAAAGACTTCTGAGCTTTATCTGAAATGTTAAAGCTTTGTCTAAGAATTTGTGGTCTGTAAATGGTTGTAATGTATGACGAATAAGGCTGAAGAATTTTAACCCGTCCATGAGCACCAGAAAGTGTAATGAACCAAAGAGAACAGATTTCTACACCAGCATTATCAAACTTCACCAAATAAATAACAATGGTGCAAACTAATTAGCAGAAGCAAGCAAAAAGCAACTACTATGGCCATACAGAACATTAGATTAGAATATGCTGTGACTGTTCTAAGCATTATTCAAAGGAAATCACACAAGAAAATTGAAAAAAAAAAAAACAAATACAAAAACAAAAATGAAACTGGAACTAATATACTAGCAATCTCAATTGACAAAATAAACATTCAAGTTACTATTGGAACTAAAACTGTAAATTAGCTAAGAAAATAAAATTTGTACAGGAGAGAAAAAATGGACCATCAGAGATATCTCCACCAAAACTGATGAACGCTTTAGAGTTTTATGCTCTAAGAAATGGATGAAAGCCCGACCTAAATGTCCAAAGCTGTCTGGTTATTTGTTGGTGCCTGCTCCAATCCTGCCTCTGCTCCATTTGCATTTTCATTTTCACCAGACATCTCTTCCAGTGATTTCCCCTTTGATTCGGGGACCAAAAAACTAAACAACATGCCCACAAAACTGATTGCACCCAATACAAGCAGTGAATTCTTCACTCCAATACCCGCTGGATAACCCCTGTCTGCCTTGGCCTTGTCTTGGTTCTGAGCCAGATACAAAAACCCAAATGCACCTATTATTGCCCCTAACTTCCCCGATGCAGCTGATATGCCATGGCAAGTTGATCTCACCCTAGCTGGAAAAATCTCAGCTGGCACGACAAATGTGGTGGCGTTGGGTCCAAAATTTGAGAAGAAGAAAGTTAGCGAGTATAGTACAACAAACCCAATTAGATGTTCCTTTTGGGTCCAGTAATTGTAAGGAATAGCCAATCCGAACATAAAAGCTGTCATCATGAAGAAACCCAGAATCTGAATTTTGAATCTTCCAATCGAATCAATGAATGCCACCGTAAACCAGTAGCCAGGGACAGTACTGCAAAGAGCAATAAGGGTTTGTGCCTTGGCTACCATATAAACTTCCTGAATGGCATTCATAGCATATGCAGGAGGAATCCACCCAATTGCGCTAAAAATGTCCTTTTGGAACAAATTTTGGCTGTAATATGCAATGTCGAGCAAGAACCACGTGCTCATGGTTCCAAGCAAGTGAAACCCGTGGCGACGAGCAAACTCCACGGAAAACAAACCAAATTCATTGGCTGGTTTCTGAGCCATCTTCTCAACCATTTCTTGCTCTGACTTGAGATCAATGTGCATAACCTTTGACATATCAGCCGCGGCCTGTTTCTCATTTTTCGCAACGAGCGCAGTGTAACGAGCAGTTTCTGGCATTTTCATCCGCCAATAGTAAGTGAGTGCAGCGGGGACTGAACCAGCCATCAATATGATCCTCCAAACGTAGTCTGCTTGTGGGACAGTTGAGCCAATGGGGTCTAATCCATAAGGCTGAGATTGAAATTTGGCAGCAAATAAAGCTGAGATGAGAAGTGAAAACGAACCACCTGCTACAATTCCAAAACCTTGCATTGCGAACACTGCAGCAATGAAACGACCACGTGTCCTTTTGTTGGCATATTCAGACATGATGGTGGCAGAAAGTGGGTAGTCACCGCCAATGCCAAATCCAAGCCAAAAGCGAAAGAAACACAGTGTTGTCATAACAGCTTTAGGTTCCTTGCTAAAGGAAAGACCAGAAGCAATGGAGCACATAATCATGAGCAATAGGGTCATTCCATAGACTCGTTTCCGGCCTAGCTTGTCACCAAGCCAGCCAAAGAAGAGCTGACCAGCTAAGGTTCCACATAAAGCAACACCATTCACAACTGAGGCTACATTGGGAGGTAAACTACCAGGGCTTTTTGCACCTTCAACTTGGAAATATATGCGGCCTAGCAATTTGGTGACAGGGGATATGCAGAAGAGGTCATAGGCATCGGTGAAGAAACCCATTCCTGAGATTACCACTGCTGTGATATGATACCATTGTGTTTTCGCTGAGTCAAGTGCTTTCAGGACTGGCAATTGATCCCCAGCCATTGTTTCTCTCCCTTCTGTAAACAATTCTAAGTTTTTTACAAGATATCTGCAAGAATTACCAAACATTTGGAATATGAAACCTCATTAAGGTATGAATAAAAGCACGTATTGTACATTAAGGCCATGTTTGTTTGGGTGGATATGAGCTTGAGATTGGACTAATAGTCTAATAAAATTATTAATCCGATGTTTGGTTAAACAATTGAAGTACGGACTAATTATTTTAAACTTGACTATTAGTTAAGATAGGACTATTAGTCATGGGAATGCTAATCCAGTCCGCCCAAACAAACATGACCTAACAGTACTAAAAAAATTCCCCAAATTTTACTCTTAGAAGATAATCACATGAGCTTGTGATGTGGCTGTTTCCTCATACAAATTTGGGGCAACTTACTTTTTGTGCCCTACAGAATTATTCATAAAACATGTCTGGACTGAAATTGAAGGTAGAAGCTGAAATTTTACATCTCAAGGTACTTCCATTAGGTGCTTTGACAAATAAAAAATAAAGAAATATAAGGAAAAACTATACTTATTTATTTCTTTTCCATTTAGTTTTCTTAACATTAATAAGTCCAAGGTCCAAATATGACATCATAAAGAATAAAAATGAATGGATCATAGAGGATCATATTAAAGTATCACATTTCTGTTTGAAGAATTGGAAAAAGGGTATAAGCAGAAGCAATTAATGTGTTTGAATGTCTCATAGAAGTTGATTGATATGTAAATATTAGATTTCATGAAACCCTAGACAGTGTTTGGTTCGATAAAAAGGGGCAAAAAAATTGTAAAATAACCATTTACTAATTTAGGAGAATGGTTAATTAATAGTCATTTCGTTATTATCCAAAATCATTCCAATAAATCAAATACTATTCCAGACGTTACACTTTTTTTAAGTGATGAATCTCTTCCTGTGCAATACAAGATTTTTAAAATTATGTAAATCTCCATATACATTTCAAAGTGGTGCAAGAAATTAAAAGTAAAGTCTCAATAATGCGAAACCAATCAGATCACAAAATGGGTCACACAACAATAACATCAAGAAAAAAGAAAATTAAAAAAAAAACAGAGTGAAGAAAATAAAAGAAAAAACGTAACTTGAATAGAAAAACACTCGCTAATTCTAATTAAAATAAGATTTCTTTAATGGAAAGAGGACAAAAAATGCATTGAACATTTCTTTAATGGAAAAAGGAAAAAGATGCATTGAACATGTCAGCAGAGAAAGAGAGAAAGGAGTGTGCACTAGACTGACCTGTTTTCAAGCCTTACTGAAGGTTTGGAGAAGAGAGAGAATGGGGGATTTAAATCATTTTGGAGGACTATGTAACAAACTAGAATGTGGAGAGAAAGAGAGGGGGTATATTCTTAGTATTTTTGCAATAAGCACTCAGTCAAAACCCATTAAAACCAATATTCCCTCTTATTCAGTATATCTCTCAACTCTTTAGATATGGATTAGGATCCTCAACAATTTTTCTCTCCTTCCCTTATCATCTTGGATTTTCTTGTTACAACAATCTACTCATCCAAGTTTAAAATTAAGTAATTTGTTGGGCCTTCGTAGTTTAAAAAATAAAAAATAAAAATTATTTTATTTAAATTTTAAATCTCAATAATTGAATTGAAAAATGTTTAAGACCCATAAAGAATCTCTCATAATTTGATTCACACTAATGTGACATGACACATGCTATTTTTTGATTTATTATATATTCAATTATATAGGATCTACCCCTCTTGCCACATCGTTGTGGGTAAAATTAGGGATCCCAAATCTTTGACATTACTCAATTGAATTATGGTATTATCGCAAAACAAAAAGATAAGGAATCCTAATTATCATGTATATGTACTATTATATATAAGCAAATATATTGTTGGATCTTTGATGTTTAAATGTAATTTTTTCAAATTATTAAATTTAAAAATTATAAAATTATTGGGTTTCATAATATGATAACTTCTCTTAAATATTTAATTAATAGAAACTAAATTAAATTAAGTTTTAAAACGGAATAATATGTCATTATTGATTCATTAATTAATAAAATTCCTTACAATATGAGTAACAAAATTTCATTACTTATTTTTAATTACTGATATAATATGCTTAGATATTGTTCTTTAATTGTAATTAAAATCTGATATATTTTTCAAATGAAATGATTATAGATAAAAATAGAAGTTAAAAGTAGTAACTACATAACACTTTACGTCCTTTATAATATAATATTAATTAAAAAAATCTAATAAAATTTATGTTCTGAATTTTTTTATTTTTTTTAAGTTTTGGTGCATGCACAGGTTCAATATTATTAATAATAAAAATCATAGTGTTTTGATTGTGCTGTGACAAGCATTGATTAAATTTAATTTGAGTGTTGGTAAATATTTCCATTAATCTTGACCAAAATTTAAAATGATCCTAAGGCCGTAAAATTTTACGAACTTAATTACTCAAGTTGGGCTCACCCAAGTTGCACCTTAGATAGGTCATAGGGTAAAATAGATTTTACTCTAAATTTTATGATCCAAAAATTCATACAATTAGTGTTAATAAATATCATTATCATATATCTCAAAATTTAAAAATAAAAATAATTTTATAATCTAAAATTCATAAAATATTATATATATCATTATCATTATATTTAGCAGTAAACCCATACTATGCACAAAAATTTAAAATAAAAAATAAAATTCAAGACATAAATTTTAGATTTGAATAATTTACACTTTAGATTTGAATAGTTTTAGGAATGCTCTTATAGCAGCCGGATGCTCTTATGGGGTTGCTATTGAAATTGTTAAATTTTGATATTGTTATATTTGGTGTCAAATTTGGCACAAATTTTTATAGATCATCAAATTTTGAGATCATTATCACCGACTAGATATATATATATATATATATAAAGATCTAAGGATGGTTAGAAAAATGAGATGGTGGTTCTGCTAATAAATGGCATGAATATTGAAGTAAAGTTGCTAAATTTTGATATTTTTGACAGAATCGTGATTGGTAGTTTGAATTTCATCTTGTTCCGAATGACTTGAATTTTGACTTGCTGGTCGTCCAGAAAGAAGATTGATAGCTGCGGTCGATAAGGTGACAACCGCAGTAGACAAGTATTGCACCGATCGTCTGGGCAGTCGACTGGCAAGCACAAATTTAGGTCATTCGGACAAGTTCAATTCGGGTTACCAATCTTTATGGTTTTTGACATACCTAATTTCACATTTAGCATTAAAGATGCTTTTTAGTAGATTTGTTTTGGAACAAAGAAAGTAGTGAGAACATAGAAAGTAGTCTAGAATCACAAAAAGCACATGGGTTTACTAGGTACAATTTTTTTTTTTTTTTTTTTGAGTTTGTTTAGCCCCAAAATGGTTACTAACCCATTCCCAAATCTTTGATTATGGTCTTTAAATAGTTCCTGATCGTTAAAAATGCATTAATTTGATCAAAGACTTTTCAACCCATAATGATATGGATCTAATTTCCTAGCAATGGGTGTTATAGGATTCTTATGAAGGAACATCTTATTTCTTATTAAAATGATTCTGTGAAGTAATTTTTTAAAATGTTTTCGTTGATATGACTATTAAATCACATGCATTCTCCAAGTGCTCATGCCAAATAAAAAGAAACAAACTGCTAATACTTCTCTCATATTGCAAATACAAATTCAAAATAGACCTTAAGAGCTACAAGACACTTGATAAAAAAGAAAAAGAAAAAGAAAATTGAAAAAAGAACAAAATTCAAAATAAGGATGCAAAATACAGAGAGAGAAGATCAATTTTTTTGAGCTCATTCACATTCATAATAAACTGAAGAGTCTGGCAACATTATGCCGAGCAGCTGCTTTGAATCAACCTAAACAACTGGAACCATCGTACTATTATAGGTCACTGAACCAATTCAGGCATGGCTTACATCCTCATTCTCTCCTGACATCTCCTCTAGAGATTTTCCTTTTGATTCAGGCACTAAGAAAGTGCATAACAAGCCTAATAAATTGACCACACCCAATACAATGAGCGAATTTCGCACCCCTCGGCACCGACGCCGCCTGGATACCCTGCATCTGCCTTGGACTTGTCTTGGTTTTGAGCAAGGTACAAGAACCCGAAGGCACCTATCATTGCCCCTAACTTGCCACATGCAGCCGATATCCCATGGCAGGTTGACCTGAACCTAGCTGGGAAAATCTCAGCTGGCACAACAAATGTGGTGGCATTTGGTCCAAAATTAGCAAAGAAGAAGGTTAGCGAATACAACAAGACGAACCCAATTCTGTGGTCTGGATGAGTCCAGTAGTTGTATGGGAAGGCCAAAGCAAACATGAAGACTGTCATCATGAAGAAACCCAATATCTGAATAGCAAATCTTCCAAGGGAATCGATTAATGCCACAGTGAACCAGTAGCCTGGGACAGTACTGCACAGAGCAATGAGGGTTTGTGCCCTTGCTATTCTAAAGACTTCATGAATGGCATTCATAGTCTTTGCTGGAGGAATCCATCCAATTGCGCTGAAAATGTCCTTCTGAAATAGATTTTGGCTGTAAAATGCAATGTCAAGCAGAAACCAAGTGCTTGTAGTCCCAAGCAAGTGAAGTCCATGGCGGCGAAGAAACTCATGGGAGAACAAAGCATATGAATTGGTTGGCTTTTCAGATATCTGGTCTACTTTCTGCTGCTCTGACTCAATATCAACCTGCAAAACCTTTGACATATCTGATGCAGCTTGTTTTGCATTCTTGGCAACCAAAGCAGTGTAACGAGCAGTTTCTGGCATCTTCATCCGCCAATAGTAAGTAAGCGTGGCGGGAAGTGCTCCAACCATCAAAATTATCCTCCAAACATAATCTGCTTGTGGAACTGTCGAGGCAATAGGGTTGACCTCATAAGCTGGGGCACTGAACTTGGCGTCGAATGCTGAAGAAATGATAATTGCAAATATCCCACCTCCTAAAATCCCAAATCCTTGCATTGCAAACACAGCAGCTATGAAGGCACCGCGAGTCTTCTTGTTTGCATATTCAGACATGATGGTGGCAGAAAGAGGATAGTCACCACCAATGCCAAACCCGAGCCAGAACCTGAAGAAGCAGAGTGTGGCCATGACAGCCTTTGGTTCCTTCCCAAAGGAAAGACCTGAAGCAACAGAGCAAAGACTCATGAGCATGAGGGTCAAGCCATAGACTCTCTTTCGACCTAGCTTGTCACCAAGCCAACCAAAAAACAATTGGCCAGCAAGAGTTCCACAAAGTGCTACACCATTAACAGCTGCAGAAACATTAGGGGGTAAAGTGCCAGGCTTGGGTGCACCATCAACGTGGTAGTATATGCGCCCGAGCAATTTAGTGACTAAAGATATGCAAAATAGGTCATATGCATCGGTGAAGAAACCCATTCCGGCAATAATGATTGCTGTGAAGTGATACCATTGTGTTTTTGCTACGTCCAGCGCGTTAAGAACCTGCAATTGGTCGCCTGCCATGGCTAGTTATCTTCCCAAATGGATCTCTTTCTCAAACACTTCTTTTTGTAATGTCTTTTAATGTGTTTGTAGATATATCTGCAAGAATTGAACAAGGATGATATTAGCATATACCCCAATTAAGAGAATGATTTTTTTTTTTTTTTTTTTTACAAATTCAAGGAAATCTTGTGTGTGTACTCAACTCAACCAACCGGATGTAATTAGGATCCCTCGTGGTTTGGGATATATTTAGAGAAAATATCAAAAAAGTAAAAGTTATAAAAATAATTGCAATACTCATTTGCACAAATTTAATGCATAAACTACTTGTATTTTCATGAGTTTACAATAATTTTTTTAACTTTATATTTTTTTGATATGATATTCACTCATATATTTATGGCATGATTACGTCAATGCCACTCACTATACTAAATAATTCTCTCTAATTTGTCACATATAATGGTTAAAGGATAAATCTAAGTGCAAAGATTTCTCTTATAAGTGTCTCATTCTATGAAAAGTTTATGTCCTCCTAATATAGCTAATATAATTAAATGACCTCTCATTTTGCATATGAGACTATCATCTCTCTCTATTCTGCTATTAAATTTGTTTTTTATCCCCTACTTATCTCAAACCATTTCTCTATACAAGGAGATCGGAATAATGGGACAAATGATTCCATATGCTAAAACTTGGCACGTTAAAGAGAAGAAAAAGAAAAGAATCACTATTCTTCTAAAAAAAAGCATGTGTAGAGTACATGAATACAAGAAAGAAGAGAATTGACATTAATGAAAAAGTAATGCAATAAAAACAGGGAAAAAAAATGTATAGAATTGTTATGAACCATTATATGGTTTATTATGATTCATTCCTTTAAGAACGCAATATTTATCATTAAAATCATAATTTATTAGTACATTACTGTCACATAATTATAGAAGCAATCTTTGTATAAAAAAATTGTAACACTTTACTTAATATAAAGTGTAATGCCCAGAATTCTCAATATCTCTCTTTATTGAAAAAATATTTCATGCCGTATGTAATAATACCGTAAATAAATTTTAACCATTAATTTTTTAAACTATTAATTGTGTGTGTAACCACACAAATTAAAAGTTAAAATTTCTTTATAGCCTTACCACAATTGGCCATGAATAATAATTGCACGTCTACCTCTCCAGTGACAACCACATACACATAAGCAAACAATACAGATATCATGGATCTGTAATTATCAAGTTAATGCTAAGTATTCAAAAAAATTGTCAAAAATATTACTCAGAATAAAGATGTAATGGTGTGTTGTAGATCTGAATTATACATTCATATTTTTAGATAAAATTTTTATTGAAAATTGTATCCTTCATGTGTATTATAACATTTATGGACGGCAAGTCTGACAGGCCGGATACCGAATTATTAAAAAAAAATCAAATCTATTCAAGATAAGACAGAGATCCCAGAGAAAGTATCACAAGAAAATACTGAAAATTGTAATAAAATTTAGAAATCAGATTGTTCCACCGCAACTATTAGGATGGGCTTTGAAATCAATTTTAGAAAGAAGGTGATATTGGGGAAACTATCTTTTTCAATAATTGAAAGGAAAGAGAATGAAAAGTGATTTCATGTATCATCTATATAATAATTGATTCGATCTCAGTACTTGTTTAAACAAGATACATAGGAGAAGAAATTTCATGCAAAAAGCTCTGTATTGTCACCAACTTTGCATGAACAAGACAAGAACAACATAATCTATGCATGTCTAGGCACACGTGGGTGTGTAGAAGAACAAGAATAAGCTTTTTAAACAATAATAATGAAAGAAACATAAAGATTTATTAGATAGAAAAACAGAGAAAAAGAGTGTGTTTCTGTCACACTGACCTGACCTGTTTGTCTTTCTCGGAGGACAACAAGAGAGAGAAAATGAGAGGAAGAGTGAGAGAGAGAGAGAGAGAGAGACAGAGGGATTCATGAGGGGGAGTGAGATGTAAGACATAAATTTATATGCAAAGGGCTCGGCACAGCACTCGGGTATCTTCTAAGGCATATTCCCTACTTTTTTGCTCGCTCTCACATTTCTCTCACAAACCCAAGCAAAGTCAAACTAACCTCATTCCCAATCTCTCTCTCTGTAATTCGACTTGTTTTTGAATTTTGATCCTTTTTAATTTCAAAAATGCTAAAGGCCCCTAAAATTCTACCAAAAGTTTTACCAAATGTCTTACATGGGTGTCTTACAATGTGGGTCCTATGTAGGTCACACACCCATGTGAGACATTTGGTAAAACTTTTGGTACAATATTTGGGTCTCTAGCATTACTCTTTTAATTTTGAAAAATTCCACACCTGTGTATTTTTACAAAATTAATTACATATTAATGACAAAATTTTTATCAATATTAATAATTAAACTTATAAATTTTTCAATAAATTTGTAATTATTTTTGTAAAAGTGGACTGAATAGTAATTTTTCATTTTTTTTTTTTTGGAAATAAATTAATTTTGTTAACCAATGTCTAAGAGGACTTGTTAATAAATTTAAATTAGTTAGATGCAGGGAAACTCTTTCGATGTGGATTATATGCATATTATTACGCTTTTTGTTGTTACAGGTTGCTTATTTTTGTGATATATAATATTTTTGTGATAAATGTTACATAATTTCATAATAAAGTTATGAATTACACATTTTTGTAATAATATTATTTATTTTTTATTTTTCAACCATAATTTGTTGTAATATTATCAAAAGATAACCTAACATTTGACCCCCCAAAAGTAATATGGTTCACATCCTTTCTATGTGTGTGTAATGTAATTGAGAGCCCAATTCCATGTTATAATTTGCATTTATACAGGATACATGCCTATTTACACTTCTATAAAAAAGTAAATTTTTTAATTTGTTTACATTTAAATGCATTTTCCTCTACATTGATTAACAAAAAATAATTACATATTAATGACAATTTTTATCAATATTAATAATTAAACTTATAAATTTTTCAATAAATTTGTAATTATTTTTGTAAAAGTGGACTGAATAGTAATTTTTCATTTTTTTTTTGGAAATAAATTAATTTTGTTAACCAATGTCTAAGAGGACTTGTTAATAAATTTAAATTAGTTAGATGCAGGGAAACTCTTTCGATGTGGATTATATGCATATTATTACGCTTTTTGTTGTTACAGGTTGCTTATTTTTGTGATATATAATTTCATAATAAAGTTATGAATTACACATTTTTGTGACAATATTATTTATTTTTTATTTTTCAACCATAATTTGTTGTAATATTATCAAAAGATAACCTAACATTTGACCCCCAAAAAGTAATATGGTTCACATCCTTTCTATGTGTGTGTAATGTAATTGAGAGCCCAGTTCCATGTTATAATTTGCATTTATAGAGGATACATGCCTACTTACACTTCAATAAAAAAGTAAATTTTTTAATTTGTTTACATTTAAATGCATTTTCCTCTACATTGATTAACAAAATTCAATAAAAAAATTAGTTTCATTTAATATTTTTGATAGACTTTTTTTTTTAATTTTAATTTTAATTTGAAAATTTTCGGATATAATTAAATGTAGTCATGGACATGAGTGCCCGAAATGAAGGAATTTGGTCAAAGCCTACCAAAGCGTGTAAATAGATGCGGATCATAAATAAGGGCAATCTGGTTATTTCCTGCCAATGCCTCGATGAGGTGATTCTATCATACTTTGTTGAAAAATGTCACGCCAGTTTGTTTTGGGGTTAAATAGGTGGGGGGAAATTAAGATAGAGTTGAGATTATTTACTGTTGTGTTTATGGGTAATGCTAGGGATACCAAATTTTCTACCAAACAAATGACCAAATGTCTCACATGGGTGTGGGGTCCGCAATTTTGTGGGCCCCACACCCATGTGAGACATTTGGTCATTTATTTGGTAGAAAATTTGGGACCTCTAGCATTTTCCTGTGTTTATTTGTAGAGTTGTGGAGGAGATTAGGATGGAGGAAGTGATATAGATAGAGGTTGGAAGGGAGATTGAGATGGAGGAGGAGGAGGAGGAGGAGGAGGAGGTGGAGGTGGAGATGGTATTAAAAAAATAGTGAGGGGATTAGAAATTTTTTTATTTTTAATATATTGGGAATTTTTTTTAAATATTAATGTTTAATTTTTTATATATTTTTATTTGTTTTATTATTTTCTATAAAAATAATTTAACAATTCCTACACTAACAATTATCATCAAAACAAACACGATTTTACTTAATCTCCTCACTAAAATCCCCTCACTATTAATCCTATAACTATAAATCTCCTCCATTCTACCTCTGAAAACAAATGGGACTATAGGGATTAATTACATGATATCCTTACCGTGTTCTGATAAAAATTACACATTTGGTAAAAATATTGGTAAAATTTTGAGATCTCTAGCATTATTCTATTTTGATTGTTAGAGCATCTCCAATGACAAATGTTATAATAGAATTTGACATTGCTATAATTTGGCGATGAACAGTAATAAATTGAAAAATTATAGCAATGGTATTCTAATGTTGTGTTTGGTTAGCGGATTTGAGAAGGGATTTGGAAAAGGTAGGTGAAATGTGAATAAAACACACCTACATTTCATCTAATTTCATACACCTTTTCCCTTTCCTTTTTCAAATCCCTCCCCAAATCTCCCAACCAAACACAGCATAATGGTCACATGTTGTTTTGACAAATCTCAACCAACTTTCCCTTCAATTTTCTAGGTATTGTTTGGATATAGATTTTTTAGTAATTTTTTTTTTGTTTATTTTTTTTTTGTTTTTCGTTACTTTTTTCGAACTTTTTGTAAAAAAAAATTAAATATTTACATTCTACCCAACTAAATAAATATAAAAATTAAAAAAAAATTAAATACATTGAAAAATTATTGTCTTTATTTCAATAACTTCATATTTTTTTTAACGAACAAACTAGCACAATTTTTTGCTATTTGTGAAATTTGTGGAACTAGTTCTTGAATGATCATTATGAAATCGAATTTTGTTTATGGAACTAAAATCTAATTTTGTTTCTGAAATTGAATGATCGTTATGAAATCGAATTGTTGATTCTATTTGCTTAAGTATGAAATTTGTGAAACTTGTGAATGAAATCGAATTTGGGAGGTTTTTCCGGTAAATGAACTCTATTTTTTCAACTGAATTTGGAACAAAAAATTTGTTGATATTTAATGATGTGGCATGTTTAGCACCTGCTATTTAACCGGCCAAATTTGATAATAGAAATGACATATGTTATCTTTGACAAGAAGAATAGCAAACTATTAGGAATCTTCTTTCTTTTTTTTTTTTGTCACTCTTGACAAATTATCGCTTTGACAGCTCCTTTGGCAACTCAAAATGTCAAGAAGGTGGGTTTAATTTTTGAATTTGAATAGCAATCCTGTTTGATGTTAAAATAAAACAAACTAAATCAAATAAAAAAATGTGCTCAAATTAATTAGAATTTGATTGGTTAATGATATGGTTTTTTGTTTTAAAAAAAAAAATTGTTATCCTCATAAGGCCATAATTGGTTTGTATTTGTGAAGCAATTTTGAAAAAATAATTGTTTAGAAAAAGCTTACAAAATTTAAAAATTTGTTTGGTTGCATATTTTAAAAATAATTTTGGAGTTTTGGATGATTTAATTTTTTATTTTTTTTTTTTTATTTTTAAGTAGAAGAGATGGGTGTGATAAAAAAAAAGTGATTGATTGATAAGTAGAATGTGAGAGAAAGAGATATGAGAGAGAAAAAATGATTAATTAATGTGTAATAAAGAAAAAAGTGATTTAAAATTTTTTTTTTTTTTTCAAAAATTTTTAATCAAACAAATTTTTGAATTTTTTTTTTTCTTTCAAAAATTGTATCCCCATATGCAAACCAAACATGACATTTATTACTTACCTCCCAACAGTGAAAAAGAAGAAGATTTTTGTTTTTGTTTTGTTGTCACCATTATGGCTGTACTTCCCTGCATTTGGTTCTTCCATATCTGGCAAGAAATGAAGATCTTCAATTCAATGTATAAAGCCTCCGTTTGGGAAGTGGGTTGGCTTTTTGGCTTTTTAGTTTTTTTGGCTATTTTAGCCTGGGCTAAAAAGCTTGGTTTGGGAAGGGCTTTTTGGCTTTTTGACTTTTTTGACTTTTTTTGTGAGAGAAGAATGTAATGATTATAGGTTGGATGTGATGTTTTGTTTGTTATGGCTAAAATAGCCTATTTTGTTTTTTGTGGCTAAAATAGTCAAAAAAACCTGAAAAAGCCCTTGCCAAACACAGGCAAAGTTATATAAATTGTGTTAATTATATATTGTGCTTTTATGTTTGTTATTATGATTATAATTCATTAAGTTTCATTATAATAATATATATCAAAAAAATAAAATAAAATAAAAGAATTTGCCATTCTAAATTCTTAAAACTCTAAAATTACAAATATTTTAGAGTTTAGATTATCTCTCACGGCTTATTTTGACAATTGAATTAAAAGTCAATTTTTTTTAACTTTTTAATTTTTTTAGATCATATTACTTTTTTAATTTTTTTACATATTTTTTTATAAAAAATTAAAAAATAACTTTTAACCCACAGAAAATATGGCAATCTCACTTCTTAATAAGGACAAAAATAAACGATGAGACAGAGGGGCATAAAGAATCCCACACCGATGTTTTAGGCCATTGGCTTGGGGTGGATCGGCTTTTTAATTTTTTGATTTTTAGTTATTTTAGGGTTGATTTGGCATATTTAAAAAAAAATTTAAAAATTAATATTTTATTTAAGTCACATCATCTTATTTAAGTCATATTATCTCTCTAATACATTACTTTAAACCAAACCTAATTCCAACTCATATTTTATAAAAAATCTCTCTAATACATTACTTTAAACCCAACCTAATTCCAACTCATATTTTATAAAAAATCAGAAAGTTAGATCATCTCAAACAACCCCTT